ATATAAAATAAAAAATTTGAGGAACCATAAAAATACCCTAATAAAATGTGTGGTTGTGTATAAAAGAAAATTTTTGATTAGTGAAGTACCAAACAAATTCCGCGTTAAGTGATGCTTATGGTAGTAGTCTTTGGAGAAAATGAAGGAAACAATCGTGCTATAAGGATCCAGATTAAAGGGTTAGTTGATTTTTATAAAAATTGTATCTAATATTTTCAACTAATTTAATAACAATAATTGTATTAATTTTATGATATGAAAATGCCTATAGAATCTTTAAAAACTAGTTTGAAGAAAAGAGTTGTGAAATTAGTAAAAAAATTACTGAAAAAGAAATACTGAAGACGGCGGAGGATTTATGTTGAATTCAACAACAATTTCTGCTAGCGCTACTACCAAAGAAGCCAGCGGAATTACAATTAGTAATTGTGATTATACGTTTAATTTTAATATGAAATAATTTGTTGGGACTGTAATGTTTATGCTATCAATAAATGTTTTGTGAATTTAACCTGATTAATGTTTGAAATTACTTACCGTTCTAAAACATATAGCCTTTATAGCCCCCCCATAGATCCGCCACTGGTTAAAACTTCAAACTTAAAAAAGTGTTAGTTTGAATAGAATTATAAATTTTAGTTTTCAGTGTTTTCACTTGATTTTATATTGGGTGAAAACCTATTGCGTTGTTTATAGTTTAATTTAATAAATGCGCCAATATTATTCCCACAGAGGGATCGGCAGAAAAACAATTAAGTGAGTAAAGTTTTTACAATTCAAATTGAAAACTAAATTATATAAACTTCAAGGCATCAAGAACTAAATTATGAAAAATTAACTAACATCCTTTGCTTCTGACTTTGGATTATCACATGATCCTATAAGGGACTGTAATTTAATTTCATAAAATGTGAAACCAAATTAATTGATCTAGTCATAGGTGAAAAGTCGAAAAGATCTATTTAAACCCATAAAGACATTTAAAAAAGAAACAGTAATCAATAAGCTTTACAACATTCACTTATCACTAAAAGAATTATATCAACTCTTACAAGAAAAAGTGTAACAAAACATAATAAGTTTGCATGAATACGCTTTTACACAAGTGTTGTCTTTTCCTAGAAGCATATTATTATTATTATTCGCAATTGTATTTCCGTATAGGCACTAATTTTCATTTGTATTTTGCATATGTATTTGCAAAAAGTTTAAAAAAATATATATTTGCAAAGAAAAAAATGTTGCTACTCACAAAGAACTTTTCTGTCTACACTTCTTACAAACGTCGTCTCAAAATCAAAGGAAACGAAAATAAATTTTTAGGTGGAAGGCCAATAAACTTACTGTTTTTTATAGAAACTTATTCAATACTTTAATATAAAATCAGATTTAATATCACATTTGATTTTTGAAAAATTTTGTCATTACAAAATATAAATGTTTAGTTTACTTTCTTAGATATTGAAAAAGCATTGGCATTTTAGTACTTTTTTAATAAAAAAAAATTAACAAAACTTACTTAAAACCTCAACGTCCCGATGCACTACCAATTAGGATAAACATAATTTTAGCTACTCCGGGATGAAAATGATCACGTGACAAGGCAATATTCTACCCCGCACGCGTAATAGACATAAAGACATCCTGTATCTTATAAGATTTAATAATATTATTGGATCTGCTTATAGAAGCATTAAAAAGATCTCATCACCATCTAATATTAGATTTGAATGCAAATAACGTACACACTGATAACTAGTATTTTTCATACGTATTAAGCGTCGCATATATTGGTAATCAATAGGACAAATTCCGAAAATTACTTTACGTGATCATCGTTTCAATTAGTAAGCAAATGAAAAACCGAATTTCAGTTAATATGTTTTAATTAATACTCCAAGACTTGTGGCCCGTTGGCACGCATTACCTACGTATTATATTGTAGTTCACATCTCTAAAGCAATATGTTCTACACGATGTTTGGCTCTTACAAACGCTTATATTTTTCATTAACTAAGTAGTAATAATAAAAATTCGCAAAAAAAATTTACAGACATAAATTTTTATATATTTTGCTAAAATGTCAATTTTTACCGCTAAATCAAAAAACAAGACGATCGCAAATTGTGGTCTGTACCAAAATTTATTTTCTCGGAAATCTTAAAAACGTTTCGTTTTCGAAATTTTTGTTATGGAAATTCCGCAAACTAAACTCTGCATGCTTATAAATTTTAAACTACCTTTAAATTTTACATCATGAAGATAAACACCGAATTTCATTTATTAGTTTTATTTATGTTAAAAAATAGTTATGAAATTTATGAAACTTGAAAACACTTCAACACTGTTTTCAAAACTAAATTTTTGATTAAGTAAGAAGTATTTTAACTCGTATTTTAATAACAATAGCGTATAATTAGTTATTTAAAATTTGCAAGAATCGTTTTTTTTTATCTAACTTCTTTGCAGATATATAATTATGTACCTGAAAAGATGTTGTATGCTTATTGTGATTACCTAAATAAGCTTTACTGTGATCTTATTTAATTTCGTAACGTTTTTGATAATTTGTGGGATCCCACTCCCATCTGACTATTGAGATCTTCCATCTATCCCACTTTACACGCCAAATAATTTTAATAAAAATATTACGTTAACTTCCAGTTAATTTAATTACTTAATTTCTCTGCATAGCATTTGCTAATTTATTTTTGTTAAGATGGCGCTCTGCGAAAAAGTGCTGATTTTGATCAAGTTTAATTACAGATATCTAACAAATTATAAAAGATGCGACTTTGACTCATGCCACATGCTGTAGGTTGGCAGAGTGAGGGGAATTGGGCATTGAGCAAACTGGGGGTTGAGCGGTAGACCCATTTTCTTATGTCTATTTAATGTTACTGATGATCTTGTATATGTTTATTCGCCAATAAAAGCCACAAATACCGTTAAACATAGTTGCAGTTTAAGATACAGCTTCCTTGTTTTCTCTTCTAATAGCCTGTAGCAAAAAAACTTTGAAAATTATTTTTACAACGGACATAAACAGTCAAACTTCAAAATTTAAACCGCCATAATTTTGAAATTTTTATAAATAGAATTTTTTTAACATTTTTTGCGAAAATTGTAACAATATTTTGGATTTTTGGATGTTGTCGATGTGATGAAATTCTCTAATTTTCTAATGTAAATAATGCTATTAACTTGTAAAACTTTTACAAGTTAACTGTCAGTTTTACAAGTTAGTGACTTGATAAAATAAACTTTTTTGATTAATATTGTGTTTTTGGAAATTGACGTTTACAAATGAGTAACAAATAAAATTATTTTTCCAACAGAAATAGAGTTAAAGTGCAAAAGTTAAACTTCCATAATTTCGAAATTTATATAGATAGAATTTTTTAAACATGTTTTCTTTGTTTCTGGTATCTTACCTTACATTTTTTCTGAGGCGCTAGTTCTGAAACACTCTGTATAGTTAAATTCTACAAAGGTCACACCAATAATAATCGATCTGAAATGCATAACGTCATGACCTTTTGTAAATTATAATTTTTATAGTGTGAAATTAAATGGAATATTTAATGGGTATGCAACCATTTGTATATTTACACATAAAAATAAAAGTGCAAGTGAAGACTAGTACGTGTTGTAAGAGCATCTAGTGTTGAAAAATTGAAGCTTGAACTACTGGCCACTGGCGTACAGATGGCAGATCTAAAGTAGACAATGTATGTTATCAAAAACTGATACAATATGTAAAATTACGTCTGTACAAACCGTTTTTACCTAACACTCATAGCAGTCATAGTTTTCGAGTTATAACTTCTAATATAAAAAAACTAATATTGATTCTGAACCTGGGACCGTAACACAAAGCGATTCCGGGTTTCCACCATTTAAAAGATAATTTAGAATAGATTTTGATATTTGATTATTTGTTGGCTTTTTGCTCTAAGTCCCATAATATCTGCATTTAAATTTTACGATTTTGACAGTTTTTACTTTTTAAACGACGATTACTACGAAACTATTGTAGCTATCGGAAAAAATCCAAGAAAAAAACTGAAAACAGTTTATTGTTTGTACTATGTCTATGTAAAATGTTCCGGAGAGTCGATTGGCATCGAGAAAATTTCAAAATTCGCTATAGTTCATACTGTGCATCGATGTGTAAGGAATGTTATTGATAGGGTGAGGTAAAAGTCAAAAGTACACACCTGAGCGGTATCTAGTATGGGTTATTAGTGGAAACGTCACGCCGCCATTTTTGTTGGATTGGGGCAGGGACCGTGTATTCAAACAAATCTTATTCGCCATAAAAATTCAATAATTTTCTTTTTTTATTAAGTGAATGTTTAGAAACAATATATTAGCGTTTGTATGTATGAATAGGACCTAGATTCGTATATAATATTGTTTGTGTGAATTTTGGTAAGAAGAGCATATCCAGAAAATTTACTGAAATTCATATAAAAAATATTACGCTAATCTAAGTCCTTTTTCACACACGCACTGAAACGCTAATATGTATATGGTTTTTTAAACATACACTTAACAGATAAAGACAAAAAAACACGAAAATCACTAAATTTATATATGGCGAATACGGAATAAGGTTTGTTTGGATAGAACAAAAATGACAGTGGGACGTCACACTAGTAGCCCGTATTGCTCGCAAACATAACAAAGGACGCGAACCATTGGCGTAACAAGATAACTGTAATCAATCAAATATGTCTTTCTGTATCATTTACGGGAAAATTGCATATTAATTATAAATTCCATTATTAAAAATTACAACAGCTTTCAATTGGTGTCTTTTATTTCATTATTTTTTTAAATATTGCAAAATTACGCAAATCTACACGCCAGTGCTTCCAAAAACTCTCCTCTTTTTTAAAGTGGAATCGTCCCAGACGCGTTTTGTTCATTTACGTATACACGCCCAGGTGTGTACTTTTAGCTTTTACCTCACTCTACTTATATCTTATCCCTAGTGTTGTAGGTCACCAACCTGACGACCAAAATCACACTAAATAACACGACCCAGTCAAAAATCACCAGAAATCCAAAAAATGGAATATTCAGATTCGTGAGTAGCTCTCTTCCTGAATTTTTCCAATTTTTCATATTGTTTGTAGGGAGTGTAACGGGGAAACTTTAGATAAAATATTAATGTACAAATGGGTTGATATAACCTCAGAATTTAAGGACGCAGTAACAGGTATTTTATAACGAAGCTAAAGCAAATTTGCTTAAATAAGAGTTCCAGATTTAGAAATGGGCGAATTACTACACGACAACTTGTTTGGCCTTTTTGAAGCAATGTCGGCAATTGAAATGATGGACCCCAAAATGGACGCTGGGATGATTTGTAACAGGGGGGCCCGGAAAGCAAAAACTCTCAGTCAAACTATTGAGGTACGTATTACTTGATTTTTACAAAAAAAATAGTATTTTTTTCTCACAGGAAGGTATATTACAATTAGATAATTTCTCCTATGAAAAAATGATAGGGATTATTGACACTACACTCGCGTGTATTGTTTCGTGGTTAGAAGGTCATTCCTTAGCTCAGACCGTTTTCACTAATCTTTATTTACATAAGCCTTACAGCATAGAAGACAGGACTATGAAAGCTTTTTGCCTCATGGTTTACAAATTGTTGGAAATAATTAAACACTTTGTACACAAGTAAGTAAAATTGCGACTACAATTTTTGTATTAATTATTGCTCATAGAGCGATGGTATATGAAGAGGAGGATTTTCAACCAATGCAATACGGTTATCACCTCAACCCTGACGTCTCAGAACAGAGAATTATAGGAATGTTACGCGAAGTTGAAGAGGAATTACATAGGAAAATCCGATCAAAACAATCATCAGTAATTACAGATTCCTGTAATTGTGTTTTTCTATTCTGAATTTTCAGAGTGAAATTCAAGCCGTACACGCGCGTATTAAATTTATGCGAGTATTTTACCAAGCTTTGACGTTGATGAGGCGAGAGGACCAGCCCCCTGCTATTACCGACTGTCAAAGACTCCTCCTCACAGCGTCAGACCAACTCATTATCATGAAAGAAACAGTCAATTTGGGACTTCAAGCAGGTTAAATTTCGATCAAAAGTAGAAAAAGAAAAACATTGTTTTGTCAGGTGATAACGAGCTAATTCCCGGTTTTGAGCCTTTAATAAACCAGCGGTTGTTACCCCCGACCTTTCCTCGCTACACCAAAATCAAACCGCGGGCAGAGGCTTTAAATTACTTCTCAGACATGGTGGACAGGTTTAAAACAATAACAAAAATCCAATCAATAACATCATTACACCAAGTTTTAGTAAGTTAACATTTGTAATCAAATTTTGGTACCGCGTTGGTGATGACAAATTTGTCACAACCAACTGCCACTATAGTTTTTTCTCTGTTAGGATTTCTTCATTGACTTTAGTAAAACTAGTCCGTGTTTATTGTCCCGATCGGCTCTTCAGTTACTTTATCAAGGTATGCCCCCCCAAAAACGAAAATATTCATATCTAAATGTGTTGTAGGGACAAATCCATGCGCCTTGCGTGACATTTTAAAAGAAGCGGTTAAGACGTTCATATGCCCGCCGGCGTTAGTTTCAAAATCGATTCTTTCAAATCAACAAGTAGTGTTACAAATTTGGGTTTTCTGCTTTTAATTTGTGTGTTTTTCTAGGCAAAAAAGTACGTTGAGTCGTTTTTGGCTCATTGTACGCGACCTTTTGCCAGTTTTTTGCAGTTGTGCGGCCACAATAGGGCCAGACAACGAGACAAGTTGGCTCATTTATTAGAGGAGTTTACTAATTTGCAAGATGAGGTAATTATATGATTTATGAAGAGTAAAAATTATTGTTTTTTTTTAGGCGGAACGAGTCGACGCTTATTTACATAATATATCAGTGAATTCGACATCGCGTCCCCATTTGGCCTGCTTTGGGACTTGGATTTTGTACCACACATTAAAAATAATGATTATGTACTTATTGGCCGGTTTTGAGTTAGAATTGTACAGTAGACACGAGTATTATTACATTTATTGGTAATTTTAATTGGGGTCTTCAATTGGTCATGATTAATGTTTTGCAGGTACTTGTACGAATTTTTGTATGGGTGGTTAGTGTCTGCTCTTTCACGGGCTGATAGTTTCTTGGTCGAAAACGAACTTATAAATGAGTTACAAAAGTCGAAAAATACGTCGAAGAAGAAACCGAAACATAAAAGAAAGCCAAGACCTTATAATCGGGACATAGTTTATTACCAGGCTTTACAGAATATGTGTGGGGGTTACTACAAAGTAATTATTATTACTAATTGGTGCAGTTTCAATCATCCTCATTGCAGGCTTTGATGGGCTTCCGGTTGGACGGGAAATTGACAATGCCTCACCCTCAATTCGATAACGAACAAGTCCGATACGAGCACCGTTTTGCGCCATTTCAAAACCTTCTAACGCCACCCCCGGTCCAGTATTCGGAATTTCGGGAAATGACGTCAGTCGAGAGATTGCAACAGCCTGTTGATAGTATTTATTTTTACGTAACTGGCTGTAAACACTTTCATCAAGCTCGACAATTATTAGAAAATATCCAAGCTGATAGTGAAATAAGTGATTTGATAAAAATATCAAAAACTAATTTTATTGTTTTAAAGTTGCTAGCAGGGGGGCACAAAAAAGATTCAGTAACGCCTCCCGAGTTTGATTTTTCGGTTAACCGTTATTTTCCAATTATCAAGTTGACTTAATTATGTTTTGTTGTGCAATTATTGTGTTTTGCTTATACTGTGATGCTATTTCTTTAACTGAATGGGTTTTCTTTGTAATTTGGTTGGAAATTTGGGCTTCAATTGTTTTTTTTTTATTTGTCGTGGACTTAGATTTGGTTCGTTGAGAGGTAATGTGTTTTGGATTAGTCTAGTTGTTCTGAATATATTTGAATCGATTTTATTTATTGGGATGTCAGAAAACTCATCATCTGATTTCGGATCATTGTGTCTTTTTATCTCGTCAATTTTTTTATGTAAAGGCAAAATTGCCGGCGCTAGTAATCGAAAAACCATCTGCAAATAAATTTTTATCTTAATTTTAATTGTGTTTTTTTCTACTTCGCTCCATTCCGGAATCCCTTCTCCACTGAATGAGAATTGCCAGAAGGGAATTCCCAAGTGGTGCACACACATCCGAAGGTAAGTTGTAAAATCATCAGCAAGAAAACTGAACTTCATTGAAGAGTTGTGAAGCCAAATAGTCGGCAAATAACGGTGGTTTATGTAAACCACAGTCACCTAAAATTCCAAATTTCATTTGAAATCAATTTATTAGAAGACACACTCGTCCATTATCGTTCAAATTGACCAACTCAAAAACTTTACTATCGGTCCCAAGCTTTAACTCGTAGTGGTCATCTTCGATATTTACTCCAGGGTCGGACTTCATCTCATAGCCATACACAGGGGCCAAGTCATTTAAACTATTGACTTCTATTAGGCCTACAACTTTATCCTCCTCGGACCCAGAATCTGGAAATTTTGTTTGTCGTCTCTACGGTTATTATCACTCTAATTTTTACTCTTATTACCTCTGTAATAGAAATTATATGTATATAACAAACCATTAGTTGAGGCATAAAAAGAGCGCAAGTCTTCGGGTAATAAAACACCATGTTTTTGCTCCCAGGCACAAATATTGTTGTGTTGAACCGGGGAAAACCGCTCTAAGTACAAATCGGAAACGCTTGGCAATTTTTCTAAAAAAAAAAAAAACGTACGACTAGTTGTGGTTTGGTTTAAATTTACCTAAGACTTTAGGTAACCCGATTAATAAATTTTCGTAGAATGAATCCTCGGAGACTTTATCTACGACAAATTCCATGTTGCACTCCGGTAACCCTGGTTACCCGGAATTAAATCTTTATGTTTCAAATTTGAGCGCCGAAAGTGTTTACTCTGCAAATACTACAGATGACAGTAGTAGAAATAGTAACGTCAAATTGACATTTGCGATTTATAAGTGCGAAAAGGGGGTTAAATTTTATTTAACTTGTAGCTGAAAAACACGCAATGTCGCCTGCAGTACGACTCCCAGGCCCCTTGCGGCTAATTGGCAAAAAACACATAGAAATAGCTTCGCAATGGTGAGTAAATAATAATTGTTTTATGGGTATTATGCAACAGTTTTGCAGGATCGGGTCTGCGATTGCCTTTGGGGCCACAGCAGGTGTGGGGATTACGTACGCCACTGACTGGAAGCTTGTCTTGCAGTTTATGCCCTACTACAACGGGAAATTCAAGGAGGAGGAATAATTTTTTGTAATTAGTAGTCATTAATAAAATTATCAAAATTTCTAGTTTTATTAATTAAGACAAACTACAACATAACTCAATTATCCTGATTCTTCAACAAAATATTGGCGTATTCTTCAGCTTCCTGCAGACGGCGTTTTGTACGCCAGGGGGAGTAAAATTTGCTGTAACCAATCCATAAAAAGGCAGTGGCGCTGACGCCTGCGATGAAGAGAAGGGACCCCTTGCCGCGCTGTTTCGCAGCCCAAGCTTTATACCAACCCATATCTAAAAAAAAAAAAATAGTCCTTGTTACAGTTATATAATAAATAAATTATTCACCAATTATTCGTCTGTCGGCTTCACTTTTGGTACTTGTTTCTCTCTGAGGAAAAAAGGCCTCCAGATATAAACGCCCCCAATTATACCTAAAGCTGTAGCAAAACCCAATTGTGCACCGGTCAAATTGCCTGGTCTTCTAATTCTCATAATTTAACATAACTTAATTATCTTTCGTTGAATTTTTATTCTTTTCGGACAGCACTAATGGTTTGATTACGAAAACACTTAAATGAATCGCCAAAGCTGAACCCACTAGGAGCTTAATTAAAAAAGCTCGTTTTGATGGCTTTGGTGACATAACCTAACTGTATCACAGGGAATGAATGAGGTTAGAAGTAAATTAATATGTGATTTAATAATTTCTCATGCAAATATTAAAGCTGTTATCTACCTTATAAACTGATAATATTCACACGTGATAAAAAATATTGCATAAGCTGAATTTAAACCAATTTAAGTAATTATGAAAATTGTTAGGCAACCAAGTATACACCAGTGTAACTGTGTTACGGTAATGTTCAATTAAAGAAGTAAATTTCATGGTTTTGGGTGCATTTATTTACTGCTTTGGTTTTACAAAATAATTAACTCAATTGAGTTTCCTATTCAAAAATAATTGATTTCAATTGCGCTTATAATTTTTTATATTTTCAACAAACCGTTTAGCAGCCCTAAGCTTGTTACCCGATAATGAAAAGACTGGGTGTGATATCACAAATATAGATTTTATTGAAGTTATTTATTTATATATTTTAAAATTACGGTTTACATGCCAATTCAGATTATAAATTTATTTTAACCCAAAAATAAAATTTAAAATTAAACCAAATCTTGCTAAAAATTATTGTTTAAATTTTATTTTGTCACAATTTTTTTAAACAATTGTAAAGTCCAATTTGATTTGTTTAATTAGGTCAACTTCTTTAAAAATAATTTAGTCCGTTTCTGCATGATTCTAGTATTGAAATCTCCGCAATCAACCCGGCGCCTCCACCATTTTAGAAACTTTTCAAAAACTTTTCAAACATTTATTAAAATTGCATTAAAAATTGTTTTTTTTATAAAAAATATTAAACTCAAAATACTAGATTAAGTAACTACCGTTACTTGATGGTGCAAAAGCAAATTAAATACTTCAATTTTTATTTAATAAACACAAATATTCCCACACTATTGGTTTTCTTTACATTTGTCTATTTTTGAAGACACAATTTTTTTTGTAAATCATCCGCAATTTTTAAGGCAATAATTTACTCACACTGCATAAACTTAAGTGAAAAAAAAATGTTTATAAATAAATACTACTGTATTTGGTTAATGTATTCTAACTACGTTGGAAGTGAGTTAAAAAATTAATTTAATTTTTAATAAGTATTACCAGTTTTTCTAAATTATTAGAACAAAAAATTAATTATTCAATAAATTATAGGAAAAAAAGATAAAATTTATACACGGCGATAAAATTGCATTATCGACATGCAGAATTAATTCATTCGGTACCTCGTCCTTCGTGAATTAACAATTTCCGCTTGGTCGATAAAATTCAAACTATACAGGGTGTTTGAGGATTGCGAGCAAATATTTTAACCACTAATATAACTCATCAAAAGAAACAACTTTTGTTATTCCAACTTTTGTCAAAAGCACGTCATTTTAAATTGCAAAAATAAAATTTGGATACGGAATTTGTTTGGTCTTAAATTCGACTTTTCATAACAAATTGTCTTAATGGTTAAAATATTTTCTCACAATTCACAAAACACCCTGTACAATCTATTGTCACAAAAATTAATAAAAATATGTTATTTAAATTAGTAAATTTTTGTTGGTGAT